AAATCAAGCCTGGCACACCTAGCAAGGTGTGCCAAGGCACACCATAGTGCAACTGACTTTAGCCAGCTCACAGTCACGGACAGTGCTCAAAATCCCCTGCTTTTCGACATCAGCACCTTCTCCGAAAAACACCCACACACCCACACACACACACACATTGACACTTATATAAGCATAATATTCAAGCGATCAAGCCAGGATCATCCCAAAGTACAACATCAAACTTCTCTCTCTATCTTCTCATCTCTCCCTATCTCTCTCAAATATAAATCGAATGGCTCCTGCGAAATTCACCGTGCTGTCGTTTTTCGTAACTTTGGCCTGTTTTGCGAGCCTCTCCGAAGGTAACTTCTACCGGGATGCAGAAATAACATGGGGCGATGGCCGTGCCAAGATACTTGAAGGCGGGCGTGGACTATCTCTGTCCCTCGACCAAAACTCGGGCTCCGGATTCCAATCCAAGAACGAGTTTTTGTTCGGAAGGTTCGACATGCAGCTCAAACTCGTACCCGGGAACTCTGCGGGCACAGTCACCACATTCTTTGTAAGTCTTCACCAATTATTTTTTATTGGTTATTTATTATTACCATTATTATTTATTCATAGCATCTCTTTTTTTTTTTTTTTTTTGCCTTTGTTGTGCAGTTATCGTCTCAAGGGGAAGGACATGATGAGATAGACTTTGAGTTTCTGGGAAACTCGAGCGGTGAGCCTTATACAGTGCACACGAACGTGTACTCGAAGGGCAAAGGAGACAAGGAACAACAGTTTCACCTTTGGTTCGACCCGACCGCCGCGTTTCACACATACTCCATCGTCTGGAGTGCTCAGCGCATAATGTAAGTAGTAAATATTGAGTTCTGGTCATTTTCTTTAGACGAACTTTCTAGTAGTTTCTAGCTAACTAAAATGTATTTGTATTGCAAAAATGTTCAGATTCTTGGTGGACAACAGTCCCATTAGAGTTTTCAACAACCACGAATCGAGTGGGGTACCTTTCCCCAACAGCAAGCCGATGAGAGTGTACTGTAGTTTGTGGAACGCAGACGAGTGGGCAACTCAAGGCGGCCGGGTCAAGACCGACTGGACAAAGGCTCCTTTTGTGGCCTATTACAGAAATTTCAAGATCCAAAGCGGTTCACAATCTCAGGCTCCGGGGCTTGATGCTAAGGGAAGAAACAGATTGAGATGGGTTCAGCAGAGGCACATGGTCTACAACTATTGTGCCGATAATCAGAGGTTTCCTCAGGGAACTTCTGTCGAGTGCAAGCGCTCGAGGTTCTAAGTTATGAGCCACGCCTTGGAGATCTTAGTTCTTCAATCAGTGATGAGTATTGTTATGGTTTTTGTGATTACAGAGTTGATGTGCTTTTGTTTTTCTTGCCATTCTTTTATTGTTTAATCCATTGAAAAGATGTCACGAGAATGAAATTTTTGCATTAAGTTCGTCATGTCCCTTTTGATTCAGTAAGTCATTTTCACACACTTTGGCATGTTGCTTCAGAAATTTTGATATGTGAAATATAATAAAGGCAATAGTAACTCTGTCGATAATTCACCATTGTTACTCATATTTCCTGCTTTTCATGAATGATTGATGGTCCTAATGGTAATATATCACGGTAGCCAATTGGAAGTGGAATCAAAGTATATCGATAGGTTCACCTAATAATTTTCCCCGATGAAATGTTCAAGCCCCGATATTTTTGTTGAGAGGTCAGGAGGACTTGATGAGTGTTTCGTGCCCTGTTGGTTTACGTGGAGAGGCTGAGAGGATACGACGGGTGTTTCAAGTCTTGGTGATTTATATGAAGAGGCCGACACAACGTAATGAGGTGATTTGGCTTGGACGTCTTGGCGAACATCCTGAGAAGAAACATAGATTTTGAGCTCAGATAATTTGGTGGACAACTCGAGAAGACACAACAAGGTGATTCGAGCTCGGATGACTTGGCAGGCATTTACGAGACAATGGAGGGATTCGAGCAGGGCAAAATGGCATGGATAGCTTGGTAGGATGTGACAAGCTAATTCGGGATCTGAAGGCTGAAGGCAAGCATAGACAAGAGTAGATACATCAAGTTGATTACGACCTCGATGGTTGCTGCAGATTCAAATGGACACGTTGAACTAATTTGAGATTTGACAACTTTCTTGTACATCTCGAGAGGACATATCTTGCATGGATAGGTCGGAAGGACACGAGAAGACGATTCGGGCCCCCATCGACTAGTGTAGGCAGCTCGGGAGGACACGGTGGGTGATCTGGACCTCAACAAGCTGTTAAGATGACTTGCATCTTTTTGGGCGATAAGTATCAGTTTTCACAAGCTCAAGTTATATTTGCATTTTGAAGTATCGTTTCGAGTTATGGGTGTTTAGCCCGAGCAAGGTGTTGAGCTCAGGACCTGACTCGCGAGCATGAGTCCCCCAAAGAGTTTGTCATTAATGCAGGATAACTGGGATTTCCGATGCCATGTACATAAGCTAATCCCTACTCACGTTGGTGATCAAGTTTGGTGATTATGATTCATTGAGACAATTGAGTCTCTTGGCATTCTTTATTGTGGAGAAATATTCATCTCTTGAATATTCTCGATGATTTACTATTGAGGTCGTGGTGTAGATGGATACATTGTTGATGCTCGTTTGGTATGAATAACAAATTTTGGAGGACATGATATTTCTCAGCGGGATTAAGGTTTTCGAGTTGGTCTAGTCGATGTGTATTATGCTTTTATCAGGCTCCGGTGCATTCGTTTGATATATATATATATATATAAATGGTTTCTTAAAGCCAAGCTCTTGCAGTTGCTATAATGATGATTGTAGCATAAGACCGAGGCATCAGGCTCGGGCGCTGCAAAAAGAAATTTAGTATAAGACCAAGTCATCGGGCTAGGGCAGTACAAAAGAGACGTGGCATAAGACCGAGCCATCGGGCTTGGGCGCTGCGAAAAATGTGGCATAAGACCGAGTGAGATGCAAAAGAATATGGCACAAGGCCGAGCTACGAGACTCGGGCGATGTAAGAAAATGTGACAAAAGGCCGAGTTATGAGGCGTTGACGCTGCAAAAGAGTATGGCCTAAGGCCGAGCCACCAGGTTTGGAAGCTGCATGGAAACATAGCATAAGACTGATCCATGGAGCTCAATGAATAAAGAAGACATTAGCATAAGGTCGAGCCATCAATGGCTCGGTAGCTAAGAAGATGCTAGCATAAGGTCGAGACCTCAAACTCGAGAGCTAATAAAAAGATATCATAAGGCCAAGCTAACAGGCTCGTCAACTAAAGAGAAGATAGCATAAGGCGGAGCTAATATGTTCGACAGTTAAAAACAAGAACATAGCATAAAGCCGAGCTAACAAAAGCCTCGTATATATATTGTTTTCTTCTCATAGTTCGCTTCGAACAATAATTTAATTCGACACTTCCGATCCTCTCCACAATCAAGAATAATCCCAATCAAGTTCGAAGTGTACATCCAAACATAACCAAAATCATTAAAAAAAACAAATGATGTAATAAATCAAGAAAATAGTAACATGGCAGCTCAATCACACGATCCAAACACGCCTTAGAACCTGGGGTGCCGGCACTCCTTGGGACGGCCTTTGGGGAATCTTTTGGCGTCACTACAGTAATTGTAGATCATAAAATTATCCTGGACCCACCGGATTAGTTTCCTCCCTTTGGTGTCCAAGCCTTGCGTTTGCCAAGTCTGATTACTAATACTCACGGACCCGTTATTACAGGAGTTCCAGGACCCGCTCACTACACAGCCATTGATGTTCATATTACGGTATGTGGCCGTGAATGGGCCCTGGGTCCAATTCGTCTTCACCCGCCCGCCCTGCGTGGCCCAATCGTCTGCGTTCCAAAGGCTGCACTGCATCTTCATTGGCTGGCTGCTCGGGTACGGAACACCATAAGTCGAATAGTTGTTGAACACCCTAATCGGGACGTTGTCGACCAGGTACCTGCATGAGACCACGAATACAAGAAAAATGTCCTAAGTTTCATAATAAAGTCAATCGTGTGTGAATCAATCAAGACTTTGACCATTTGATTTTATTTGAAGCTAGGTAGTGAATAGTAGTTTAATTAATCGGGATTATTGACTATATATATATCAGGCGCGTGTGGAGAAAGGTAAAAACTTGATGATTTTGCAAAAAAAAAAAAAAAAAGTGAGATTTTGTTAATTATGTAGTTTTGACTAAATCATTAAATGAAATTCACATTAATTGTTTTGCATATTTCAAAAAACAATCAACATTCAAGTAGAAATTAGATAGATATATGTGGCTTACATTATCCGATGTGGGTTCCAAAGAATAGTGTAATTGTGGAAAGCTGCAGTTGGGTCGAACCAGAGCCGGAACTGCTGCTCTCTACCGCCCACGCCTTGCATGTAAACGTTTGTGTGCACGGTGTATGGCTGCCCCGATGAATTCCCCAAGAACTCGAAATCCACCTCGTCGTGCGCCGGCCCTTGTGACGTCAACTGCAATTTTTACATCATCGTGATTCGTGAGCGTCAAGGGCGTAGCTATGTAGAAGGCTAAGGTGGGCTATAGCCCTACCTAAAACAATTGGAACAAGTACCAATATATTTATATTTTACTTGTGTTTTGATTTAGTCTAATTAAAATTAAAAGATTTATCTTACCAATTAGCACATCTATATTATGTCAATCTTTATAATCTCAATTAAAGGATTTCATTTTATTAACAATTTATTTTTTTACTTTTATTTTCATTAACGACAATAAGAAAGTAAAATTTAATCATTTTTAATAAGTCGTGCGAATATTTAGGAGCTTCAAATCATACAACTTTGATTAGAAACTTCTTTTTTGGAGAAATAACAACTATGGTGTGTTTTTAAATTAATTATTAAATAATAATAATAATAATAATAATAATAATAATAATAATTATTATTATAAATTACAAATAAATTTGATATGAAAATATAATCTTCCAATTTATTTTTCCTTTTAAAAGTTGATTCGAAATAAAATGATGTGATTCAACATAACTGATAATTATAATTATTGGATTAGTAAAATAATAAAAATGTAATTTCCTATATCCCATAAAAACATGCTTAATAAAATCAACATTATCAAATATAAAATTTTGGAGTAATTTTTCTAAACTTTAATTTAATTTTTAAGATTATATTTATTTTACAATTCTTATCGAACAAGTATACATATTGAATAAAACAAAATAATGTATTAACATTTATTTATTTGAGATTTGCAGTGATATTTTAAATATTTTTAAATTCAAAACTTTCTAAACTTATTTACTTGGTGAAATTCTTATTAAAAATCTTAAGTTCAAAGATTAGATTTGATAGTAAGATTTGACATATATAATTTATGTTTAAATCTTCATTAAATCTTAAAAAGTCCTAATGAATTTCAGTGTTAAATAAGTTAATTCTCTCACAGTTTTTAAAAGTTCTCAATATCTCAATATAATAACTCAAGAATTTTTAAAATCATAAAAACTCAAAACCGTGATACACACAATTATTAAAATATTAAAAAATCTTTAAAAATATAAATGTATATACTCTTAAGATATTCTATTTTTTTTAAAAAAAAAAACATGTCGATCTTTTCAACACTGAAACTTGTGCTATCTTTCTAAGATAAGCTACTCCACAAATATATAAATTAGTAATACTTAATAATTAGAAGGTGTTGTGAAATAATAATAATAATAATAAACAATTGTTGGAATAATTATCCTAAAAAACATATGATATATTAATGTTGTAATACAACTAAGTATATTAGTCAGCCCCGGATAAATTTGAATTCTGGCTACGCCACTGGTGAGCGTGTCCATATGTAATTGCCACATGATACAAGTTACAGGACATAAATTGTAATTTTGCTTAAAAAAATCACTATTTTTGCATATGATTTAAAAAGAGAAGCAAAACAATGGAGCTTACGAAAAAGGTTGTGACGGTGCCAGCAGAGTTTCCGGGCACGAGCTTGATCTGCATGTCGAACCTCGCGTACAAGTACGAGTTTATGGACTCGAAGCCCGAGCCGGAGGTGTTGTCGAGGGACAACGAAAGGGATTGACCTGCATTCTCTATCCGGGCCCGTGGGCCGCCCCAAGTCACGTCCACGTCTTGGGAGAAGTTACCTGCGGATGAGGAGACAAAGAGGAAGGCCATGGCCATGAAAACCTTGACCAATTTATCTGTGGCCCATGGAAATGAAATGAAAGACTCCATTTTATTTATTTATTTATTTATTTTTGGGTTTTGGATGGACTATTATTGACACCTTTATTTTTTTCGCTTTGCATATATATTTATATGAAATAATTAAGTGTTTGTGGTGTTTGAAGATTGATGTTTTGGTAAGCAAGGTATATATAGGCGTATAAATCATGGGAGCTACTAAGGTTGACATTCTTTCTTCATGGGATTATTAAATTTAACAGCTGCAAAACAGCTGGACTTTGATTTTTCTTCACTAAAATGCAACACTTTTCTGTAATTTTTTTTTTTTTTAACTATATGAAATTTAATTGACTTATTATTATATGAGGAGTTCTAACTGTTTATGAGGATCAATTTTGTCATATTTTTTTCTCACCAAATATTCACATCTATACTATAAAATGTCATATCTATATATATATGTACAATTTTCTTTATACTTTTTAAAACTTGACATTTTATTTTAATATAAAAATATACATATAAAAAATTGATTGTCTTAGTGTTACATATTCTAACAACAACCTTATTTGAATAAATAAATTGCACAGTAGATATTAATTTGTTATTCATTTTGATATTTTAAAACCAGGTAAATTGCAGTTTTGATACCTAAACTAAAGTTCATTTCGGAATCAATACTCGTTTTTTAACATTTGCAAAATCAGTACCCAAACTTTCATTCTGTTAGCAACGTTAGTACCCGACTACCCGACCGTTAGATCTCCGTTAAATTTCCGTTAGTTGTTAACGGAAGTAGGCAAAATAGAAGGAAATCTGTATTTTTGTTATTGAAAAATTATTATTCCAAGATATACTCCTTGAACTAGAAGAGAAACCATGTCTTCTCATTTTTTAAGGTTTATTATATTTTTTTCAAAAAAAAAAATCGATTTTATCCAATTTTTTCTCATAAATAGTGAATGCTACGTTTTTTAAAAAAAAATGGTACAAATGTCTTATGTATATAGATTTCATCATGAGCCAAAAAAAAAAAAAAGAAAAAATTCCTCCATTTTGCCTATTTCCGTTAACAACTAACAGAAATTTAACAGAGATCTAACGGCCGGGTACTAAATTTGCTAACAGAATGAAAGTTCGGGTACTGATTTTGCAAATGTTAAAAAACAGGTACTGATTTCGAAATGAACTTTAGTTTGGGTATCAAAACTGCAATTTACCCTTTAAAACTACATAATCTTCGCCGTGATCATCTTCGTAGCAAATATTATGCCCTTAAAATTAATTTTTGTTGGTGAAGGTCCAATTCTTGTCTACTGTTGGAATGTCATTTGTGAGTTGTTTCACATTGATTTGATAAGGTAAATGAGTCTAATTTATAAATCTAATGGATTACTATTCCTCACTAAAGTGCAACTGGGTTCACCCTCTTATGATGAACTTCACTGTGTAGGACCCGCATCCTTGATCCCCGATTATCAAAATTTGACACCTAGCATATATAGTAGTTATGTTTATTTATATGCTGGCACACACTAAATTTGACATAGGCACGATCGAACATTTGTACCAGTTGATCTTACCAATATTATCCTTTTTATTTCTCAATTTAAAATTTTCCTTAATCATTTGATACATCTCGATTTTCAGAATCTGTGTTCTAAGTCGCATTCAAACCTATAAAATAAATAACAATAATGGGAAATGTCAAAAAAATTGTTTTCCTTATGTAATAATTGTGTTTGTTATGAAATTCAATTCAATCTTGCCCCGTTTGTCAATAGCATTACTAATGCATGATGATTGATATTGTACATTACGTGTTTATTTTTTTTATATATATATATATATATTTTTT